CAGCAGCAGGTGGTGGTGGTGGTGCTGTGCTAGTGGGCAACAGACAAGCATCCTTATCTATAAAGAAGAGCCCTGTCAGGATAAAAACAGCAACCAGCACAGAGCCGTTTACCACCAATCTGACTTCCTCCGCTGCTGCTACAGCTGCTGGTGCTACTACTCCGTCTACCACTGCTGCTCCGGCTACTGCTGCTGCTGCTGCTGCTGCTGCCACTGCTATGGGACTAGCCAGGCCACTCGCACATCGGCTTCTCCGAACCCATAACTTCCCTCTAGTTGCCAATGCCCCCGCCGTGGCCCTAGATGGGTTTCCCTCCCCCACGTCTTCCCCTCCTGCCTCCCCTGCCCTTGCTGGTAATTCTTCACTGAATGTGCTGCTCACACCCTCTCGAACCGTATCTATGTTTCCTCGGGTGGTCGCTTCTGCTTGCTCGCCTGTGTCTGCTTCTTTGCACTCCCTACCTCCTGCTACTCTTGCTGCTGCTGCGGCTGCTGGTGCTGATGATGATGTTGACAATAAAACTGATACTGGCGTCTCCGTTGTTGTTACTGCTGCTGGCGAGGCTGCAAGACTTGGAGTACCAGGCAGCAGCAGCAGTAGCAGCAGCAGGAGCAGCAGCAGCACTGCAAGAGGAAAAGGAAAGGAGACTGTGGGCCATGAGAAACCAGTGAAGAGCAGCAGTAAGGGTAGGCAGCAGGACAAGTCCCGGCAGCTCCGGCGGGGCTATTCTGAGTCCGCAGGCAGGCTGGACCGCTGCTGGGTTGACCCCCCTTCGCATTCTATCCGAGGAAAATCCAGAGGCGGCTCTGATGCAGCTGCAGCTGTCGCTGCAACTGTGACTGCGGCTGTGGCTTCTGCCGGTGATGCTGATGAATCGGCTGGTGCTGCTGCTGGTGCTGCTGCTGCTCAGACCGCCAGTGCAACCGCTGGTGCAACACGCACTCGTGGAGGCAAGGTTGGCAGTTGCTGCTGCTGCTGCTGCTGCAGCTGCGGGTGCGGGTGCGGGTGCGGGTGCGGGTGCGGGTGCGACCACTCGTGCTGCTGGTGCTGCGGTTGCTGCAGGTGGCAGCGTTTCTTTCAACAAAGCTGTCTCTTCTTTTGCCACCTCCTTTTCAACCTCTCATTCACACAAACAGTCTCGTCGCTCTCGATCCGCCCACTCCTCTCGTGCTTCCAACTCCAGCCTAGCCGCTCCTGAACCTGCTCCTATTTCTGAAGCTGCTACTCCCGAGCCTGTAGCAGCAGCTGTATCTGCTGCTGCTGCCCCTTCACCTGCCGCGGCAGCAGCTACTGCCTCTGTTTCTCCTCCTCCTGCTGCTGCCGCCACTGCTGTTTCTCTCCATGTCACCACTCCCGCATCAAGCAGCAAGGCTGAATCAGGCACACAAAAAGAACAGCCCACCCAAGTGGTACATGAGACCATCAGCGACCAGCAGCAGCAGCAGCAGGCAGGGCAGTCAGAGGAGGCAGATCTGGTGCCGGCGGACCTAGTGCAGGCACGCCTAGGGCAGGGAGATCTAGAGCAGGCACAGCTGGATCAGTTCCAAGTGACTCAGGCCCACCCGTCCCAGTCACACCTGGATCCGTCACACCCTGATATAGCAGAGCAGCAGGTGCCGTACGATCCCTTGCTGTCGCCGCAAGACTCGGCCCCACTCTGTTCCTCCACTTCCATCTCATCTGTCTCCTCCTTTGATGATGATTTCAGCCTGACCAGCGGTGCGTACTCAGGCACCCGTGCTGCAGCTGCCAATGGCAAGGCCAGGGGTGGCTTGGTTAACACGGTAGCGGGTGAGCCTGTAGAGGGTACAGAGGCTGCTGGTGTTGGTGCTGCTGCTGCTGCTGCTGCTGCCGGTGCTTATGCTGCTGCTGCTCCTGCTGCTGGCGCTGCTGGTGCTGGTGCTTGCGCTCCAAGAAAGTCGCTACCACCAGCGACGGTGAACATTCTGGTGCGGGACAAGCCTGAGGGGGATGTGGTGCGGTGGGTGTGTGCAGCAGGCAAGGGCGCATCCATGGTTCTGGAAGATGATGGAATAGTGCGGTCTGAGATCCTCGTTCTCGATTACTCCCCTCCGGCTGGTGCTGCTGGTGGTGATGGTGATGGTGGGAGACGGGGGATGGATGGTTTCGGTGACTGTGAGGGTGATAGTGATGATGATGGGATGATGGTGGGTGCAAAGGAGTGTGGATTAGGAGGGGGGAGAGGAGGCGATGGGGGTGCTGGGGTGGGTAGAGGAGGAGGGGGAGGAGCAGGATCGATGAGATGTACAGGTCGGTTGGATGGAGTGGGAGGTGGTGGTGATGCAACGGATTGTGAGTCGTGCATGTCGTATGACACGCCGAGAGGGAGCAGGCCAGGCGCCCCTCCTCCGTGCACGCCTGCCAGCCGCTCCCCCTCCTCGTCGTTCAACAGCATAGCGGTGAACTTTTGCGGATCAGGGAGGGAAGGGGAAGGGGAAGAGAACGTGGGGGATGTGGCTGGGACGGCGGCATGTGAAGCAGGTGCAGCAGTTGCTGCAGGCACGGCGGCAGCAGCAGCAGCAGCAGCATCAACTGCGGCAACAGCTCTTGCAACTGTGCAAGAAGGGGAGCCGGCCTCCCTCTCTCCTTCCTCGTTGTCTCAACCGTTGCACTCCTCTCAGCCTGTCCCTGTGCCGTGGTTTGGTCAGGAGCTTTCCTTTGCGCTGCGGCCAGCACACGAGTTAGGGGTAGAGGCAGCAAGAGCGGCGGCGATAGGGGCAGCAGCTGCTGCTGCAGTAGCTGCAGCAGCCGCAGCAGCAGCAGCAGCAGCAGGAGGAGGAGGAGGAGGAGTAGAGGTTGGGGATGAAGGAGAGGGAAGCATTCAGGCAGCGCGACGAGCAGAGCTGCGGGCGCGGTTGCGAGTGGATGTTGCTGGAGAGAGTGGCTGTGGTGTTATCACTCCAGACCAACAGCAGCAGCAGCAGCAGCAGCAGCAGCAGCGCAATCCAAACGGGCAATTCGAGCAGTCCCAGCAAAACCTCCAGTTTCAGTTCCAGCAGCAAGAGCAGCTGCAGCTGAGTGGTGAGCGTGGAATGGCTGTAGTGCTGATTGGGTCTGCACGAGGAGAGGCAGGGGCGGATGGGGGGGCTTGGGGGACTCCAGTTGGGGTGTGGCCGGGGCAGGTCGTGCCTTGCAGCGCGGGCAGCAGCATTGGTCGCAGCATTTCGGAAGGAGAGGTGACTAAGAGCGGCAAGGGGACAGGCAAGGCGGGAGGAGGCGAGGGGAGGGAAGGTGGAAAGAGAGGTGGAAGGGGAGGTGGGGAGGAGAAGGAGGAGGAGGAAGAGGAGGGGGTGGACTCGCCGCTCGCACATGGTCGAATGTTGCGGGCATGTGGAGCTCCTTTCTTCTCCTCCATGCGCCCCTCCTCTGCCTCCACCGTTTCACCTGCTACTGCTGCTGGTCGTGCCACCTCTGCTCTCACTCCCCCCGCCGCCGCTGCTACCTCTGCCGCCGCCGCCGCCACCGCCGCCGCCGCCGACGCTGCTATAGCTGCTGCTGCTGGGTCGACTCCTCCCAGTGTGTCAGTGGCCCGAGGTGGTGCAGTGGGGGCTACGGATCAGGAAGGACCCATGTATAGCACTCACGGCAGCATTAACAGCAGCAGCAGCAGCAGCAGCAGCAGTGTGCCGAACGGAGGGCTGGGGAGCGGTAAATCGCAGCAGCCGCGGTATGCAAGGCAGTCGATGCTGGAAGGGATGTTCAACCGTCAGTGGGGCAAAGCTAAGGTGCGTGCGTGCGCGTGTGGATTACAATGTCTCTCCCTCTCTCCCAGCTGCCATTGTTTTTCGGGTTGATGCAACCCGGCAATGCGGCACACTTAGAGGATAAGCAGCTTATTTGTTTCGGAATCTGGAACCTACCAGTGTGGCCAAGCCTGGGTGTCTTCTCGGGTGAGCATGACGTCTCATCTCAGCTGCAACTCGATTCTTCTATTTCCAACACAGCCAGCCTTGAGATTGTCGCGTTGGCCACCCACCTACCCAACCTCAGCGAGAGATGCCTTTCTGTGTTAACAAATGGTCTCTGCTCTGGTTTGCCTTCACGTATGCAACTGGCGTCGCATCAACTCACCTCAGCCCCCCACCTCCCCCCTCCTCTCATATTTCCCTTCCTACAGCACTAATGGAGAGTATCAGGTTACCAGGGTCAGCAATCGTTGAAGCCAAGGCGGCCGAGGCCACGTGGCACTTGTAAAGTTAGAACAGAGATTTAGAGACCTCACTTTCAGGAGACCAGTCAATAGTAGACGCAAGAAAGGGCTTGTGAGTTTCGTTGTAAGCTACTGGTACCCATATGTATTAATTACCTGTCATGTACCGTATCATACCGGTATGTACCTTACCGTAATAAACAGGTTGTCTTGTACGGTGTTGTCAAGATGTCATTGTAATAAATTTTGTAGGAGCGTTCTCGGGGAAGTTTAAACATACAGTACCTTACGGGCAAAATTTTAAGGCGCAGCATGCCTTAGGTGGGTTGGCTGAGAGGAAATGTCTTGGCTGGTAGAGTTCTTGTAGGTGAAGTCTGGCCATGCCTAGTCGTGTGAAAGGACTGAAATGAAGTGTTTCTCTCTTATATTTCCACAGTAGTTATACATGTACATTATTATACCTACTACGGTACCATGTGTACCTCCTAAAATCCCTCCACTGGTGCAATTTTTCCACATCTATGGTCAATTGACCTACCCTAACCTACCGTATATTGCTGCCAGTATGCTGGTACCCTTATCGGCATGCCTGATACCAGTGCCCCAAAACAGGCTTCTTTCCTTGCATTCTCTTCATGCGGAAATAGTGCTATCCGTTCTTCTCCAAACCCAAGCCACTTAGTTAACCCTCCACCTCAGTTTCTTCGAACACCCTGTACTGTACTCCCACCAATCAAGTCTAGACTAGACTCTCTGTACTGTCTTCCTGTCGGTTCTCTTCCCACCATGATTCCACAATCAACCTGAGACTCCTCCTCCTCCTGCATTTCACGCCTGGCAGCTGCCATCATCGAACGACCCGACATAGTACGAGTACCCATTTGCATTCCTCAGAACAGCAGTTCCATTACTGCACGCTCCGTCCGTATGCCGCATCACACAGAAACCCCCACACTCACCCTCCCACTCCGCCACTTTCTTCCTCCCTCCCCCGCCGCCGCTGCCACTGCTCTTGCTGCTCTTGCTCTTAGCAGCAGCAGGCGAGCCCTTGGGAATCCACACCCAGCTCTCGCAAGACAGCTTATCCCCCTCGTATGTTTGAATCTTCCGGCTCGACGCACACATGTCCGCGCACGCAGCCTGGGTCGACACACGCGCACCGCCAATAATCCGGTACACGTCCAGGTCACTAATCGCCTTCAGGGCCGGACACGTCTTGCACTTCACAGCCGCGTTAGTAGCGGCTCCGTTCTTTGCAAGCGCGGCGGAGGAGCGGGAGGAGCGAGACGAGGTGGTGGTGACAGGAATGAAACCCGCCATGCAGAGTGTGCAGCCCGAGGCGAGGCTGTAGCCGAGCTCGCATGTAGCACAAGAGGCGGCTTTGGAGTAGCTCCCTTGGCACTTGCACGAGGGAGTCCCATCCACCTGGGTAGACAAGAGGGGCACGCAGGGGGATGACGGAAGAAACGGATAAATTGGACGGATCGGGAGCGAGGAAGGACACCGACGCAGGGGACGCGTACCGGAGGGACGCGCGCATGAACACGGACAGATGGGACGGACGGATGGACGGACGGCGGACGGGCGAATGGACTAAGGGCTAAACGAGAGTATTGACGAGCGCTAGAAGTTTAAGAGGCTCACCCTATCGTAGATGCATTTGCCCTTGCCGTTGCAGTCGTTTCCGTCGCCGCAGCCAGAGCACCCCTTGCACGACTGGACCACTGCCACATAGCGAGTGAGAGAAGAGGGCGCGGGGAACGTACATGGGACAGATAACACATATGAGATGCGAACAAGGCACGATGGCCAGCGGGCAGGAAGCAGCGTTTCGAATCGAACGCGTGAGCGCCTGTGCAAGGGTGCGTCTTTTCAGAGGGGTGGCGTCCACGCGTGCATGTTTGTGCGCACATGCGTGAGTAAGTGTGAGAATAGAACTGCTAGACCCACCTTGGGCGTTGGGTTGCTGAGCCACCATATCCGGCTTCTGGTTACCACACAGCTGTAGCACGTTCCCTCCGCCCTCCACGCCATCCACAAGAATATCGTCGCTAGCCGTTGGCGAAACAGCACTGTTTTTCGCAAACGACGAATAGCACACACGGGTTACCAGCTCCGCGCTCCCACCACCCTCCACACCCAAGAACAGCGCACCACCGCCACCCGTCCTCGCGACATTCGCCTTAAACGACGTCCGCATTATATTAGGCGCCTGCCCGGCGATCGCGGTCGAGTAGATCGCGCCACCGTCTAGTTTCGCCGAGTTCCCCTCGAACCGGCTCCTCTGCACGTAGTTAACCTGACCGGCCACCGCGCCGCCATATCCGCCGGTAGCCACGTTATTCACGAACGTCGAGTTGAAAATCGCGAGAAACCCGCTTCGCAGCAGCGAGATCGCGCCGCCATCCAACGACGCCTGGTTGTTCTCAAAAAGACATTCCGAGATCTGGATCGTCGCGAGCTCCTGCGAAATCGCTCCACCTCGCTTGTTGCTGTTACCACGGAAGGTTACACGACGAGCAATGAGCGGTTTTGCGAGGCCCACGCCGCTGCATTCGCCGATGATCGCGCCGCCGGTAAAGCCTTCGATGTGGAGGTCCTCGAGCTGCAGCGCGGCGCCGGGATCGCAGTTGAAGCCTTTAAAGCCGTTGCCCTTGATGACGCATCGCTTGTCTCCGCATTTGCCTTGGATGTGAAGAATGGCGTTGTACTCGAGCTGGGGGAGGTTTGACGTGAGTGTCACGTCAGCAGACAGCACCACCTTGACGGTACTGCATAGGTTGACCAGTGAAAATTGATCATGCCATAAAAAGAGGAATGGGGGGAAAGAGAGACGACGGGGGAGAAATCCAAAAACCGAACGGAAGCGGAGGAAGGAAACAGTAAGTTAGTACAGGACTAGTGGAAATCCGACCATAAGCTTTCTGAGACTGGTGAGCCCTCGTGGAATACATAGGTGGAATAAAAGCTAGCAAGTATTATTACTGCGTCTGCAAGCACTCCTCACCTTCCCGCCTTCTCGTTGGCACTCGCAATCGCTTCATGCAGGAACGAGTCGCCCTGGCTAGCCTGAGCTTTTCCTCGCATCCCCGTGTTCTTCTTCGCCACCAATGTTGTTGCTGCCGTCGCCTTGACCACGTTCCTGTTCTTCCTGGCCTTATTCGTCCTTTTCGCCTTCTTTGTCTTCTTCGTCTTCTTCACCTTCTTCTTTTTCTTTCCGCTGCTGCTGCTGGACGAACTGGTTTCGCTAGTGACTCGTCGGATGGAGCCAACGCCGCCATTAGCACCGTCGGTTTCGTCGCCCATTGGCAGCGGCATGAGCGACCGCCGGAACGTGTCCGACGCTTGTAAGTCGGGACGGAATATTTGTAGCGGGTATGGGAGGATGGACTGCGCGGGAGTGGCCAGGGATCCTGCCGTGGCGAACGCGACAATGGCAATTAGGGGGAGGAGGACGGTAGGAGGCACGCAGAATTGCGAGAAGCTACGATACAGCATGCTCATTGTGCCTGGTTTCAGAAGGGCAGAGAAGATCGGTGTCACTGGGATCACTGGATGCAGTTTAGTTTTGACGGCTCAAATGCTTCAGTGATGATTGAAGGACTCGCTTACTGGTGTACCTAGGGGCGACTCTAGACGCATGCAGAGGTTGAGAACGGGTCCGAAGAAGAGAGACGCAAAACAATTAGACTTTATTGATCCTGCTGTGAGCTCATGGGTCTCTTGTACCCAATCCATGGCATAGACTCGAGGCAGGGGTGAAGTGCCAGTGCTCAGTCCCCCCTTCATGCGCCTGACGACCGCCACAAACAACTCGTCATTACCGTGGTGGCTTGGGTTGGGTCAGCTGGTCGGAGTACAATTGGGGTAGCTAAGGGATTGCAAGCTGGCACAAGCACGGTATGCCGTCGATTTGTTTTCCCTAGCACAACGGCCGTCCATTGATACACACAATTTCCAACATTCACAAATTTCGACATTTCCGCGCTTCGGTTCAGAGGCTGTCAGGAAACCCTGCAGTCCACTCCTACAGCGAGTTGCGTTTGGTTGAACAAGGCTGACTGGCTGATCCCGTTTCGCAGTGGCGTGCTTCTGCATGCACAGGGTCGTTCTGCGACTCCTGCCACCAGCGCGCGACGCGCTGTGGAGAACAAAATGTTCGGCGGGTGATTTTAGCCGACAGTTTTAGCATCCGTTGGATGACGACGGCAACAAGAATCCCACAGCCCCCAAAAGACCGAAAGTCGCCGACGTCGATGTGGTCGCATACTTTTTCGTTTTAGGGAGGCGCCGGAATACGTCACAGAACCATTCAGATAAGTATGGAAAGTAAATACCACCATACGGACCAGACAAGTATAAAAAATATAGTAGTCAGTCACCCGACAAATATAATCAATTAATTCATGCATTATGAGCTTTGATATTCTCGCAAACTCGCTTCACTGGTTAACGTTTGAAACACGTGGAAATATTTTGCTGAATTGTCCGAACTTTGTTCTCTTCCATATATTACGGTGCTATTTTCTGCTTTATGCAGAAAACCCTTGAATTTTGGGCTGCTTCATACTAAGGGTACATTCCTGTGGAGACACTTGTGTCTGAAACACTTTGTGACACTCAAAAACAGCATATAACGTACTAGGTCACAAACGCGGACCGCAGTGCCGCGATTGTCACTGTATTTTACATTGGTTGGCGTGAATTGCGCGGGTGTCGCGGACGAGTTACACGAGGCCCCGTCACCCTATGAGAATCGCACGCGAGTCGAAATGTCACATTGTGCAGCATGCACCTGGACCCCCCGAAGTGGGCAACTTTTGAGCGGGAATGTAAACCGCTCTGCCCGTGCGCACCGCTGAGTGGTGGATGTGACCACACGGTCACATCCCTGCCCGACTGCGCACACCGTTCCATCCTCTCGGTACCCCCTCTCCACTTCCAATCTAGTCTTGTACACCAAACCCCAGCTCCATCCTTCTTGTTTCGTGCGGTTTCATCCACTCCGTAACCATGCCCCGTAAGCGCAAGAGCGTAGCTAGTAGTGCCGAGCTTTGCCCGCTGGATCTCACCGAGATCCCGTACATAGCATGGATGAACAAGCAGCTCCCTGCCGGCCGCAAGCCCGGCGGCCCTTTGCCAGAAGGTGTGCCTGGTGCTGGTGACACCTCGTACAAAGCCCCTCCAGATGTCCCGACTCGTGGGCGCCGTGATGCCGACCGTGTAGCATCCTCCCGCGTCGTGGACGACGACGCCTTCGATGACGAGGCCGACGACGACGAGGACAACGACTGCGACGAAGCGTGCGATGACGACGCGGACTCGGGCGAGGAGGAGGACTAGGGCATGTCCCCGTCCGAGGATGAGGACGACGCGGACGACGACGCGGACGACGACGAGGACGCGCCCGAGGAAGTCCAGCCCGCCGCCCCGTCTACTCGTCGTTCCCGTGCTACTGCCGCAGCCGGAACCAAGACTGCCGCGAAGGGAGGGGAACCTCCGCGTGCCGCTGCTAAGACCCGCAACCTGCATCCGGTCAAACGCAGCGTGTGGTCTCCCCGCGAGAGCACGATCTTCGTGGCAGCATGATGGTTCATGAAGGACGAACTCGGGAAGCTTCTCGGGAAGCAAGGATCCCAGTACTGGGCCCGCCTCGTGCGCCACCTCGAGCAAGAGAATCCAGGGTGGGTACGCGGCGTCAACGCGCTGCAGAAGCAGTGGCGTAACCTGGTCATCATGTACAAGCAGATCTGTAAGGGGGAGCGGGCGAGCGGCAAGGGGGCGGTGTGCAAACCGCCCTGGTTCCCGTACATGGAGCTGTACCAGAACAACAAGGCCGTCGGGAACCCGCACGCCGTTGACGGCGGTGGAGCGGCGCATGTTAACGTGCAGTGCGGGTTCGCGGTCCCGTCAACATCTGCACCGTGCAATTCGACACCGACTTTCACGAGTGAGACTGCGTTGTTGTACATGTATGCTGATTCCTCGTTTGTGCATGTCGGCCCTGTGCAATTATTTTATAACTCGTTAACATTGACATAACATACAACCGTGTTTACGACGTGGTCAATGCATGTCCCTTGTGCAGCTCCACCGCCGCAAGGTACGCCCACCTCCAAACGTCCGCGGGTGGCAGAGACGGCCACGATGGCCGCCGCGAAGCTGGTGTGTGAGACTATCAAGGGCTGCCACTCGGACGCGATGACTAGGCTCAAAGGCCTCGTCCGCGCGTGGATGGAACAAGACGCGCGGATTGCCCGCGAACGCCTTCAGCAGCAGGCCCCTCATCAGGCTGCCCACGACGGCAACCCGGTGCACCCGGACAACATGCACGCAACCGACGCCGCCGAAGGCGGCAAGGACGGCTGGCTCCGTCGCGGTCAGGCTGGCGACAACGCCTCTAACCTGGATGCGGGCGAGGAGGTGTGGGTTCGCGGCGCCGCCGAGTGAGGTAAGAAGACTCCAAAGCCTCTCCAAGCCTCTTGCGCCTTTCCCGCAGGTTTGCCTGCGTGTTCGGGTCCGCCGGCTCCCATTTGAAATCCGCGACCGCCCCTCTCGTCCACCACTGGTCCAGGTTTCGTGGCAAATTGGCCCACGAAACATTGACGCGCCTAACCGCCCCCATGGTCTCACACATGTTGTGCAGGATGACGCCACACGACGCCCCTGCAAGAATGCGCCAAAGCTTACAGTCATTGCGGCCCGCGAAGAGACGCCACCGGCCTTTGAAGGCTCCGATGCAGCGCTCTACAGCCATGCGCGTTGCGCTTTGGCAGTAGTTGAAGCACTGCTCCTAGTCCTCCATTAGGCCTTCCCGGGGTGCATGTAGGGGGGTCAGGCAGAAATCCCTGAGTGGGTAGGCTGCATCACCGACAATTTGGTATGGCGCTATGTCGCCGTTGTGCAACCTCTCGTGTAACGCGCTGTTCATAAACACCCTCTGATCGTGTGCACTGCCCGGGTAACCAACCAAGTAATCCCAGATGATTCCCCGTGCGTCGCATGTGATCTGCAGCTGGACGGCATAGCATGACTTGCGCGTGTAGTACTCTTGTCTATGACCCTCCATCCCCTTCATGTGTACGTGCGTGCCGTCAATAGCCCCCACAACAGCAGATACCCCCTTGATGGCGCGGAACTCCTCCGCCATCTCGTCGAGGTCGTCACGGGTGGGGAAATGGACCCACTGCTGCTTGAAGACGGAGGGGAAGTGCATGAGCAAGGCGTCGACCAGCATGTGGCAAAGCGTCTTGGAGAGGCCGAAGACGGACGACAAGTCCACGAATGACATGCCCGTGGCCAGGTATTTGATAGCGACGAGGCATGCAATCTCATGAGTGATGAGATATCTGTCAACGTACGGCTGCATGTAGTGCGCCATCCCGGCGACAATGTAATCGAGTATGGCGCGGTTAATGCGGAACAGGTCCCTGAATTCGTCCTCCCCCATGCCCTCCAGGTCCTCTAGCAGCAGGTTGTATCTCCTCCGGCGTAGCCATGCCCTCCTTTTCTGCTCGGCTGTTCGGTTGGAGCCACGCGAGCTTGAGGCCGAAGATTCCTCCTCCGTGAAGACGTTCGCCTCCAGCAATGCTCCTACAGACTTGGCGACGGCGTCTAGGAAGATGCTGTAGTAGAACGTCACCCATGCAACCAGCAGTCGCATGAGGAATGGCACCTCGCGAGGCTGTGCCATGGTTGCTAGAAGGGTGGGGCATTATGCTAGATGGTGCGTGCGTTTTTGTACATGCTAGAGTGGTTGAGTACATGCCTGTGTGTGTTGGTGAGAGCAAACATGCCGACTCGTCCAAATTGCAAGTTCTTCCATCGTGGCGTGCACTGTCTGTCAAGTGTGCCACTGGATAAGGTGTTATGCCTTGCTGCCCGGCGGGAAAACGTTGTGGGCGTGGTCCAGTACATCGCAGCCAATAGAACGCAACCACATGGCACGGCCTGACTGTCGCTCAAAGTCGTAGTACATTGGTTCTTTGTGACACAACATTTTGCAAATTTACAGGCACGACCCGGGAAAACAGGGGTTCAGACACAAGTGTCTCCACAGGAATGTACCCTAATGTATCCTCTGAGTCTGATTTTATTGTGTGGTATTTACCAACCTTCACAAGGACCAAATCTTATCGCTCTCCATTACCACTAATTTTAGACATAGCGGATCCTGCTTTGTTGGAGCAGCCTCCATTCCACACCACACAACAAATACCCTCGATTTCTCCTGACCAACCCCTATGTGCTGCAACGGCTTCAACCACCTAGGCGTCTCGCAGTGTTCATAGGCAGCAAGCTGTATCAGTCCTTTCAGTCAGAAGGCCGTGATTGAAGACATCTATAGACCCGCATTTCATGGTATTCGTTCTGCTCTAGACCGCCACAAAAGTATAAGGACATTCGGATGCGCTAGGACCAATACCTTTCACATTAGGTTGTCCGGTAGAAATTCAAGCTGTTGGGACTCAGAACTAAAAAAAACTTGCATTAGGTTTCCTTAATGGCGTTCTCCCCGACGCGACAATTGGTAGGGTTGCAATCACAACCCTAGAAAATGCCATGACGGCAGCCTGAGTGTGGCCGCAGCAGGAGCTGCCGCATTAGTGCTTGCAGCAGCTCAGCCTAGTCCACCATCCGACCGTAGCTGCAAGCGCAAGCGGAAGCGCACGCGCGCGCGCAACCGCATCGCGTTCCTTGAAACCATTGCGTCTATCCTGCAAAAATGATGGACTTACAGCAGCAGCAACAGCAGCAGCAGCAACAACAACAACAGCAACAGCAGCAACAACAGCAGCAACAACAGCAGCAGCAACAGCAGGAGCAGCAGCAGCAGAAAATGATGTATGCGCAGGATAACAACCACCTATACGACCCTAACCACAATGACCTAATGACCATGCTGGGCGGGGGATTCGGTCAGCCAGGGGGAGGCGCGGGTATGCGCGGGGGTCGTCCGCCGTCCGAGCACATCGTGGAGGCGCTGCTTCAGCGGTTCGTCCCGCTGGCGCGCGCAAGGATAGATGCGGCTGCGCAGGTAGGCAGGGGGAGGGTGTGGGGGAAGAGGATGTGCGGGGGGTGGGTGTGCTCAGGTCGTGAGGCCACTTAAGGATAGAGGCGGCTACGCAGATAAACGGGGGGGAGGCTGTGCGGCGGAGGCGGAACGGGATGGAGAGGTGAAGGTCAGGGGGAAAGGGGGGACTAAACGCGACTTTGTGTGACTGTGGATGTGGGGGGGGGGGGAGGGGGGTGGAGCTGAGCAGCTTCAGAAAGCTGTAGCAAGCTGGAGCAAGTGTGGCAAGCTGGAGCAAAGCGAGCAAGCTGTAAAATTTGAACCTGGAGATCGGAGCGTGTGAGAAGGTGCTCGACTCGCTGGTTATGGCAAGATGGAACTCCGGTTCCGGAATTCCGTTCGCTCTTTTCACTATGCCACCCTGTCCAGACGCGTTCACCTCCGTCCGTCCTTCCCCGGCCAATCCCGTCTTCCCCATTCCACCCCCGTCCGCTCCCTTCCACCCCCCTCCACCGCTCTTCACCCCCGGCAGGATGGGCAGGGCTTGAAGCTGGAGGACGGGGCGTACGAGAAGGTGCTGGACTCGCTGGCTATGGTGGCTGCTCACATGCCCCGCCCGCTGCTAGACGCGCTGCTCAAATGGCGCGACGGGTGAGAGAGGGGGGTGTGTGGCGGGCGTGTTAGTGGGGGAAGAAGGGGCGGGTGGCGGCTCGCATTCCCCACCCGCTGCTGGACGCGCTGCTCAAATGGCGCGACGAGAAGGGTGAGAGATGAAGGGGAGGGGTAGGGGGAGGGATGGGGAGGGGTATGGGGGAGGGATGGGGAGGGGTAGGGGGAGGGATGGGGAGGGGTATGGTGGAGGCGGATGAGAGGGCAGGAGTGAAGAAATAAAAGGATTTTTTGCAGGGAATTGTGATGGGAAAGGGGAGACGGGGTTCGGGCTTGCCTCGGTGGCTGTTTGACATGCTGCTGTGTGGTGTGGGGTAGGGAGAAGGGGGGAAGGGGGAAGGGGTTTGCTGTGAAGGGCAGGGAAAAGGGGGGATGGAACGGTTTGGTGGGGGGAAATATGTGGTGCGGGGTGATATGATGGGAATTTGCATTGTGACGCCTTTCACTGTTTTCTGGCATGCTCATGTCCGCCTCTGCGTTTCTTGTTGTGGGCCGTGCTGCTGTGCTGCTGTGCTGGTGCTGTGAACCTTCCCGTGCCGATGAGTCTTCCTGCAGGGAGTCACCGAAGCTGATGGACGATGCTAAGTTCGGACCGGGCCAAGGCATGCACACACTGCACCGCAAGGTACATGCCCGCCACGCTTTGCCATGCCATCCTGTGCCCTGCTCTGCCATGCCATGCCATGCCGTGCCATGCCGTGCCGTGCCGTGCCAGTCCACACCTTGACTAATGGGAGAACGACGCTGGAGAATCTCCCCTGCACGCATGTTGCTGTTATCTGCTACTCGTCCCCTCTTGCTGGTAATGCGTGGAGGCTGGAGCAACACAGCAGAATTGAAAGCATGCAATGCGCATGTGCACTTGCTGTACCCTACCAACATTCTTCCTCCCTCCTTATCCCGTTCTGTCCCATCCCATCCCATCCCATCCCCCACAGCTGTTAGTGGAGTGTGTGTTCATCTCTGCCGCTGTTCGCTTTGTTGACTGCTGCCCTCCTGACGGCCTCACAGGTGCCACGCCACCTACCCCCCGTCCACGCCACACCCTGCTTCTCTACTCTCACACTCTGTCTACTGTCATGTCCTCTCCCACGTTTCACTTCTTCTATTGCGAAACTGTGTCCGTCACTGCCACACCCCCCTTTCCCCGGCCACATTTCCTTGCCAATGCTACCCCCTTCATCTTTCCCCCACTGGTTGGTGCAGATGGGACCCCCACTGGACTTGTCCCTCTTCTCCCTTTCCCTGCCCAAATCCCATCTGTGTCTCTTTTATCAATCCCATCTGTGTCTCTTTTATCAATCCCATCTGTGTCTCTTTTATCAATCCCATCTGTGTCTCTTTTATCAATCCCATCTGTGTCTCTTTTATCAATCCCATCTGTGTCTCTTTTATCAATCCCATCTGTGTCTCTTTTATCAATCCCATCTGTGTCTCTTTTATCAATCCCATCTGTGTCTCTTTTATCAATCCCATCTGTGTCTCTTTTATCAATCCCATCTGTGTCTCTTTTATCAATCCCATCTGTGTCTCTTTTATCAATCCCATCTGTGTCTCTTTTATCAATCCCATCTGTGTCTCTTTTATCAATCCCATCTGTGTCTCTTTTATCAATCCCATCTGTGTCTCTTTTATCAATCCCATCTGGGTCTTGAGCCAATCAAAAATTGGCCGATCAATACCTCCCTTCCGCAACAATTCTTCTCCCCCGTTCTCAGAGGAGCTATGGAGCGGCTTGGAGGACTTCATATTCGACTGGTTCGTGCATGCCGAGAGGTACGGTCGTTTCACACGCCTCGCCCTCGCCCCTTCCCTTCCCACTTCCCCCCCCTCCCTCCTGCATGCATGCTCTTCAAAGCTCTCTCTGTGTCTAAACAGAACAGCTGTTGTGATGCTCCTTCCTTCTTCTTGCCTCCCGCTTTACGTGCCCCCCTCCCGCTCTACGTGCCCCCCTCCACACCACACCACAGCTACGATCTGTCTGCTTTTCGCCGTCCAAGTCCTGCCAGCTATATCTTGATTTGATGTACCCAATCCAATCTTTTTTAGGTCCCTGAAAAACATTCCACTGAATTCTGCCACGGAATCCACTGAGAGAGTGGCCATGTATTCCAGTTCCACTCCACTCTCCTGTGCCTGATCATGCTCTGTCAAACCCCCCTTCTCCCCCCCCCGGTCCGCCCCAGGCTCATTCCCCAGTCGGAGTTCCCAGGGTTGATGGAGCTGCGCGCCAAGCTCCTGGACTGTGTTGCTGATCTTGCTGGGGTGCTCTCAGTCAAGCGGTATGTTCTCTCCTCTCTCTGCCTCCTGCTCCCTCCCTGCTGCCTGCCCTCTACCTTCCTCTCCCCTCTCCCTGCTCTCTGCTCTCTGTACTTTCTAAATCAGAGATTCTCCTTCCCTTCCCCCTCCCTCCCCTTCTCACTCCCCCAACCCTTCTCCTTTCCCCCCTCTCCCCCCTCTCTTCCGCCCCCCCCGTGCAGCTTTGAGAGCATGGCGGCGCGCTTCTTTGTATAGCTGGACATATTCGGGCCATGGAGCAGCCCATGCGCTTGGGAGGGGCTGTCAGCCAATTTTTGATCGGCTCAAGACCCGCTTTCTCATGGCCCCTCTGCAACCCCCACTCTCTCTGCCGCTCCCGCTCGCCCCCATTCCCCTCCCCCACTCCCTTCCGCCTCCCCTTTCCCCTACCCCCCGCCTTCTCCCCTTTCCACCTTCGCCCCCCCACCCCCCCTATCCACACCTCCCCCCCCGTGCAGCTTTGAGAGCATGGCGGCGCGCTTCTTTGTGGAGCTGGACACGTGGGCCGGCCGGGCCATGGAGCAGCCCATGCGTCTCGAGGGGCTGTCGGCTTGTTTTGATTTGAATCAGCTCATGACCCGCTTTTTCCCGGCCTCTTTCCACCCCCCTCCCCCTCCCCCTCGCTCCCCTTTCTTCCCCCCCCACCCCCCTTCCGCCTCCCCCTCCCCGTCTCCCTTCCTTCTCCCATTCCTCCCCTCCCTTAAGCAGCTTTGAGAGCATGGCGGCGCGCTTCTTTGTGGAGCTGGACACGCGGGCCATGGAGCAGCCGATGCGGCTGGAGGGGCTGTCGGCGACGGGCAGCCTGCGCGTGGTGCCGGTGGTGGACGTGTTTGCGCGCGGCAGCGAGCGGTCGTTGGCCATGGAGTTCAGCGTGCGGCGCTACGACGCCACCTCCAACCGCAACGAGCTGCTCAGCGTCGTGCACGGCATGCGCTTCCTCCGCCTTGATGTGGGTTCTGTCTGGAGAGGGGGGGGAGAAAGGGAGGGGGGTTGGGGGGTATGCGGAAGGGAGGGCAGGGCAGGGGAGTGAAGGGCGGAAGGGATTGGGGGGCAGGGTGGTGGGCGGTGGAAGGAAGGTATGTGTGCCGTGTGTTGGAAAGGGGCGCTACGACGCCACGTCCAACTGCAACGAGCTGCTCAGTGTTGTGCACGGCATGCGCTTCCTCTGCCTTGACGTGAGCGAGGGAGGGGGCGGGGAGGAAGGGGAGGGGGACGGAGGAGGGAGGGGGGGAAGGAACGGGATGTGAGTGCAGGGCTCGCGCTGCATGCACAGCACTGCGCTTCATGCACTCACTGCATTGGGCTCGCCCTTCCCTTCATGCACAGCATCCAACGCGCTGCTCAACCAACCAGATGTCCACGCCAGCAGCAGCATTCATGGCCTCACGAAAATTCCTCCTCAAGGCAAATCCTCTCATCGGTGTGGTGCACGCCTCACACCGCTCTCAACCCAAACCAACCCCACCTAACTCCTCCCTGCTTCCCCACCCAAACCAGATGTCCACGCCAGCCGCAGTCATGGCCTCCCGCAACTTCCTCCTCGAGGCGAACCCTCTGAGCCGTGTGGTGCTCTCCTCACACCGCTCTCAACCCAAACCAATGTCACCCAACCCCTCCGTGCTCCCCCCCAATCCAGATGTCCACGCCTGCCGCAGTCATGGCCTCCCGCAACTTCCTCCTCAAGGCGAACCCTCTGAGCCGCGCGCCCTCCAAGAAGAAAACCGAGCTGCAGCACGCGCTCTGCGCCATGCTCACGTCTATCCTCGCCCCGCTCACTGAAAACCCCCGCTCCCGCTGGCCCCCCCTTAAGCACTTGATGGGCGGTGCCGGGGGAGGGGGAGTGGGGGGAGTGGGGCCTGCTGTCTCTGCTGCAGCTGCGGATGCGCTGACTGCATGGAATTCCGCGGTGCTGCATTTGCGGGGGCAGCTGTCGGGATGGGTGGCGCCGCAGTCGACGCTGTCGCTGCAGATGGACAAGCAGTCGAGACACATCCAGGTGGGTGGATGGGATGGGATGGGATGGATCAAGGAGGTACCGTTAGGAGCATGGGGAAAGGGATGTGGAAGTGCCGCTGTCGCTGCAGATGGACAAGCAGTCGCGGCACATCCAGGTCAGTGGCTGGCAAAGAGGTGAGGTAATGTGGTGTGGAGGGATGGAAGGGGAGGTTTTTGCTGTGAGGCGTATGCAAAATGGGGGGTTTAAGGAGGGCTTGACCTTTTTGCTTACCGCTTGCTCCTGCCTCTTCCTGATTCCATCCGCACCTGTGTGTGCTTGTGGTGCACATTTGCTTGTGTGCATGTGTGTGTGTGTGTGTGTGTGTGTGTGTGTGTGTGTGCGTGTGTGTGCGTGTGTGTGCGTGTGTGTGTGTGCGTGTTTGTGTTTGTGCGTGCGTGTGTCTGTGTATGTATGTGTGTGTGAGTGGATTTGTGCGTGGGTGGGTGTATCCACGTGCGTGCTGTGCAGGTGGCATACCCCCTGAACACGCTGCTGCTGTGCCTGGGCGACCAGCACTCCTTCGACTCTCTCTTCAACAGCTTCGTCGAAATGCTCTACAAACACCTCAGGGTAAGCAAGTACCTTACAAGTACCAACAAACAGTTAGAATACAAACAATTCACGGTAGGCATGTAGGCATGAACCAAACACTGCTCGATAAATATCAACAGACACCTCAGGTCAGGGTAAGTACCAACACGCGTTACAGTTGAAGTGTCAGCACGCACCTCAACAAACATCTGACGCCAAGTTCTCGAAATCAAGGTCCCCCACCCCATCTAGTCCCTCGTTCTCCTCCTTTCTCCCATTGCTCCCTTTCTCCCGCGTTCCTTCCCTCCCCTCTGCCCCCTGTCATGGGCAACCCAACCCACGCCATGCATGTGTGTGCACCGGGGAGCGCAGGAGAAGAGCTACCGGGCAGTGGCACTGGACTGCCTGCACCGCCTCGTGCACTTTTACCTCAGCGTGTATGCCGATGGCCAGCCCAAGAGCCGCGTCTGGGAGAAACTCGAGGTACCTTCCTACTTTCCTACCCGCTCGCATACTTGCATGTCTGCACTGCATGTCGCATGTCTGCACTGCATGTCGCATGTCTGCACTGCATGCATGTCGCATGACTGTGTGGTTACCTGGCCTTGTGCACTTCCCTGCCATGCCCTCCTTCCCCATTGCTTCTCCCCCCCGCCCCCCCTGTCCCCCTCTTCCCCTTAACCTCTTCCCGCCTGCTCTCCGCCCCCTTCCCCCCTCCGCCCCGCTCCCCTCCTCCCTCCGCCCCCTGCCCCTCCGGCCCCCGTCCTCCCCCCGCTTCCCCCCGCTTCCCCCTTCCCTGCACCCTTCTCTTTTCCTCCCCATCCCTCCTCCCTCCCCCTCCCCTTGCGCAGGGCATAACGAAGCAGCTGATGACGAGTCTGAAGAAGGGCGTGCTGTCGCAGGACATGCAGCACGACCGCCTGGTGGACCTGTGCGTCACCGTCGCCGCCACCGACCTCGAGTTTGCCATGAACCACATGGTCATCGAGCTGCTGCGCACCGATGGGCTCGGCGAGGCCAAGGTGGGTGGCAGGCGGCAGGGAAGGCAGTGTGGGTGGGTGGGTGGGTGGGTGAAGTGAAGGTATGTATGTGTGGCCGTGGTGGGGGGCTGGAAATGGAGTGCGCTCACTGCCTCTGGTTCGCCATGAATGAATGAACCACTTGGTCATCGAGCTGCTGCGCACCGATGGGCTCAGGGAAGCCAAGGTGGGTGAAGGGTGCCAGGCAGGCAGGCAGGCAGGCAGGTTAGGTGGGTGGGTGGGTGAAGGCAGGGCAGGCAGGCAGGTTAGGTGGGTGGGTGGGTGGGTGTGAAGGCAGGGCAGGCAGGCAGTGGGTGGGAGGTCTAGAAATATAAGATACTTGACTAATGTTGCTCAATGCCGTTGCCTTTTCACCTCTAGTTATAATAGCTATCCTGGACGGGGATTGCTGTGAGCTACATGGTCATATAGTAGGCTTGGACATAACCCTCCGCACTGCATTTCCCCCCAGGTGGTGGGACTGCGTGCGCTGCTGGCAGTGGTAGAGAACGCGCTGCACCAGTCCAACGTCTGAGACGCCTGAAAATTCATCCTTAATTCAAATATCCCCCCCATCCCCTCGTCTTTTCCCCCCAGGTGGTGGGACTGCGTGCGCTGCTGGCAGTGGTAGAGAACGCCCTGCACCAGTCCAACGCAGCCACCCTCATGGCTCCCGACCGCAAGTCCTCCGCCCTCGCTGGCTCCGCCAAGCCCCTCGGCACCACCCGCCAAGCCCCCCACGTGCCCTTCTTCGGTGGACCAGGGGGAGGCGGAGGAGGAGGGGGCCTCCCCCCCGGACTCCCCGTCCCCCAGATGTCTCAGCAGCAGCAGATGCTCATCCAGCAGCAGAAGCAGCAGCAGCAGCAGCAGCAGGGGGCGGCAGGGCATGCGGCGCATCTGAGTTCACGGTTTGGGTCGGTGGATTACGGGAGGCTGGGCGTGGGGCCGGCGGAAACGGCGGTGATGGCGCCGCACATGCCTCGTGTGCGTGCTGCTCTGGGGGCGATCATCAAGCAGTGCCATGCCGCGTTTGGGTCGCTGCTGCTCATCACGCCCAAGACCACCATCGGTTCGTTTCCTTGCTTGCTTGTTTGTTTGTTTGTTTGTTTGTTTTTTTGTTTGTTTGTGGGTTCACTGGTGGGTTCGCTGGCTTATTCTCTGGTTGGTTGCTTGGTTGACGCAGAGCTGACTGCTGGCTGGTTGAAGGGACTAGATGCAAGGCTGACTGTTGAGTGGACTAAAAAAGTCACGCTTCACCTTCCCCACTCCTTCCCCCGTTTTAAGCCTCCCCACCAACCCCCCCACCAGACATGATGTCCAAGGACAAGGTGCAGAGCTGGCAGGTGTTCAAGTGGGCGCCTCCTAGCCAATTTAAAACACGCATCTCTCCCGCTCCACCTTCCCCACTCCGTCCCCCGTTTTAACCCTCCCCACCAACCCCACTACCAGACATGATGTCCAAGGACAAGGTGCAGAGCTGGCAGGTGTTCAAGTGGGCATTACGGTGCATGCCGCACCTCATCCCGGAGCAGTGGCGCAACGACAAGATGACTGAGATCATCCCCGTCTACGCCATCTCCATCGACCCCCACGTGCGCGACGAGGCCGTGCAAGTGCTCTTCCGCACCGTGCGCGACCTGCCGCAGTGCCGCTTCCCCATCCTGCGCGGCATGGCGAATTTCATCCTCAAAATCCCGGATGAGTACCCCCAACTCATCCACTCCTCTCTAGTATGCCTCGTCCAGTTACTCAACGCCTGGCGCATCTGCCTCGCGTATGAAGCCTCCTCCTCTGCGGCTGCCTCGGGGCATGGGGGTTCCCTTGGCGGTCCTGGGGCCGGGGGTGGAGCGGCGGGGGGGGCAGGAAGCGCGGATTTACTCGCCCGTACCCGGCAGGTTCTCGCGGCGCATGGGGGGGACGACGGGCTGAGGTTTGACCCGTCGGGGATGGACGCGGTGGGGCTGATTTTCCTGTGCTCGGCGGATAACAAGATCCGGAGGACAGCGCTGGAGCTGCTGCGGAACGTGCGCGCCCTACAGCGGGACCTGGCGCGGCTGTTTGCAGCGGGGGGCGAGCAGCAGGTGGAGGAGGACCCGCCGACTACGTATATCATCGACATTATGGAGGAGACGGGGGTGAGTGAGCGGGAGAAGGGAGGAGGGAGGGGGTGTTGGGGGTGTTCAGTTCTGGGGGTATCTTGTTGGTCTTTTTGTTTCAGCGAGCAGCAGGTGGAGGAGGACCCGCCGACTACGTATATCATCGACATTATGGAGGAGACAGGGGTGAGCGAGTGGACGAGGGGCTAGGGGAGGGTGGGTGGGGTTTATTTCTAGGGGTGTGGGCGTGTCTCTCCCTCACCTCTCTGTGGCCTCTCACCCTCTCCATTGCTCTCCTCTCCCCCCACTCCTCCTCCCTTTTCCTCGCCCTGTTCCCCCTTCCTTTTCCCCCCTTCCCCTCCCTCCCCACCCTCCTCAACAGGAGGAGGTGGTGAGCAAGTGCTACTGGGACAGCGGCAAGTGGCACGAGCTGCAGCCGGAGAGCGATGCAGAGGCACTGCAGGACGTGACGCTGCAGCACATCCTCGAGGGCTCCGACCAGGCACGCTGGGGGCGCTGCCTCAGCGAGCTCGTCAAGTACTGCGCCGAGCTCTGCCCTTCCTCCGTGCAGGGCGCCAGGTATGGCGGGTTTTGTGGGGGGAGTGGGGTGGGGGGCACTGGGGGCTGGGGGAAGAGGGACTGACTGGGGAATTCAGGCGTATGTTGAAAGTGTCGTAACCATTTTCCATCTCACGTGCCTCCTCCTCCTCCTCCTCCTCCTCCTCCTCCTCCTCCTCCTCCTCCTCCTCCTCCTCCTCCTCCTCCTCCTCCTCCTCCTACCCGCATCCCACCTTGAACTTGCACCCTGACTCACGTTTCAAGTCCACTTAACTGCTTTCAACGATTTCCCATCTCCCATGCCGCCTCCTCCGCCTCCTCCACCCGCTCGTCCTCCTCCGCACCGCACCTCCACCCCGCCTCCCCAGGCTGGAAGTGGTGGCGCGGATGACCCCACTCTCCCCCGCAGACTCCTCCGACCACCATGTCTCATCTATTGTCCCCCATCCTCTGCACCTCCCTTCCTTCCCCTCCTTCCCTCCCCCTCCCTCTCCCCTCCAGGCTGGAAGTGGTAGCGCGGATGACCCCACTCTCCCCCGCCGACTCCTCCGGCCGGCAGGAGAAGGCGGGTGCGGGGGGAGACGGGGACACGAAGCTGGAGCAGTGGCAACTGTACGCCATGTTTGCGTGCGCGTGCCCACCGGAGGACGCGCCTGACGGTGGAGAGCAGAGCATCAAGGAGCTCGTGCGCCTCGTGCTGCCCATGGCCCGCTCGGGTGCTGAATCCTCTGTGGTATGTTGGCGCGAAATGGGTCTAGACTGGAGCGTGTGGATGGGCTGGGGTACGCACATGCATTTATCTGTGTGGTGGTGATACTGGTTTCGAGACAACTGCTTTTGAGTCGACTCAAAAGCTTTTGAGTCGGCTCAAAAGCGTACGCACATGCATTTATCTGTGTGGTGGTGATACTGGTTTCGAGACAACTCTCACTGAACCCTCCTTTCGATCCCATCTAGTTTCCCATCCCTCCCGTCTGATTCCCTCTCCCTTCTCATTCTCGCCAGTAAGCGGAGTGACGGTGACGCTGGGGCATGCGCATGCGAGCATTGGTCTAATGCGTCGCGCAACTCTTTCCTCCCTCTCAATATCCGCCCATTCCTCCCGTCTGATTCCCTCTCCCCTGTCGGCAGTACGCAGCGACGGTGGCGCTGGGGCATGCGCATGCGGGCATCTGTGAGGCGATGCTGACGGAGCTCATGATGTGGGTGGAAGAGCTGCTCGCAGAGATAGAGCAGCGCAAATGGAAGGTGAGTGAGCCTCTCTGCCATTTACAATGGGCGAGCTGCAGACTAGAAGAGTTCGTTCGCATGAGCTTGATGGTAGAGTTGTTCATGGCACAGGTTTACCGCCTCATTACCCCAAACCCCTAGGCTTCCAATCAATAAACACTATAATTGCTGCCTTCCCTTTCCCCCCTCCCCTCAGAGCCAGAAGGTTCGCAAGGAGGACATGTGGGTGTTCATAATGCATGTGCGAAACGTCTCAGAAACCTTCACATCCCCTCCTTCCCCCCCCCCCCTTCTCCCCTCCCCCACCCCCTCTCCTCCCCACCAACAGAACCAGAAGGTGCGCAAGGAGGACATGCGTGTGTTCATGGCGCAGGTGTACCGCCTCGTAGCGGAGAACCTCTGGCCGGGCGTGCTCCCCCAGCGCCCGTGGCTGCGGCAGCTCTTCCTCAAGTTCATGGACAGCACCGCGCAGCACGTCTCCAAGGAGACCGGCGACGCGTTTCTCGACGCGCAGCCGCTGCGCTTCGCGCTGTGCTCGGTGGTGCGCTGCCTGTCCATCGAGCTCAACGGGTGCGCGTCGAAGCGGTTCGACATAAAGCTGCGGCGGCAGCTGTTTGATCTGATGGCGTCGTGGTGCGATGAGGCGGGCGGGCTGGAGAACATGACGAGCGAGTTCCGAAGGGAGGTGGAGCGGACGAAAGCGGCGGCCATGGCGCGGACGAAAGATGCGGCGGAGCGAGCGGCTGTGGAGAAGGAACTGAACGAGCAGGCAGATGCCATTCATGTGAGCGCTATGGGGTGTTATGTGGTGGGATGGGATGGGATGTGGTCTTATGGGATGGGAGTGGGTGTGATGTGGTGGTGTGGGGTGAGAACCTGTGCAGATCTCCATCTGTGTCTCCCATTCGTTGACCCTACCCACCCACCCTACCTGATCCTGGAATCAGCTGGCACACAGCATGGCCGGGTGGGTCGAGGCAACACTTCTCATTCACCACCTTCTTCCCTCCGTCTGTTTTTTCTCACATTGTATGGCCTTTCAGGCGCGGATAGCACTTCTCACTCGCTTCGCTGCTTCCCCCCCTCCTCTTTTCATTCTCTTTTCCTTTTTGTTTTGGGGTTTCGTTTTCCTCTCGTGCAGGGCATGGCGATGCAGGCGCTAGCAGCGCTGCTGCATGGGCCGTGCTTCGATGAGGGCCTGAGGAAGATGTCAGGCAAGGCAGTCACATGGATCCGCTCCCTCATGGAGTCTGCTGCAGGCACTGGCCAGGCAGCAGCCGGCATGGGCATGGGCATGGGCATGGGCATGGGTATGGGCATGGGGATGGGCATGGGGATGATGGGCATGGGCATGGGGATGGGCATGGGCATGGGTGGGTCGCCTCGGGATGTGTTCAACAGGAGGAAGGGCGGAGAGGGCGGGCATGGGAAGGGTGTGGGCAACAGAGAGTGGCGGAGCTTGTTTGGGTCGCCGTCTTGGCGGTCTATGCTGGGGAGAGAGGCGCTGCTGAATCTGCTCAAGACCAATCCTGACATCGTGCCTGCTGTCATCGACCAGGTGTGCCGCTGCCTGCTTGTTTCTTCCCTCGCTGCTGCTCCTCGCTCCTCTTGCTCCTTGCTGTTGCTTCTTGCTCTTGCTCTTGCTCCTGCTCCTGCTCGCGCTCGTTGCTGCTGTGCTCGTTCTTGTGTTCTTGCTTTGCCACCATGCATCTGTTGCCCTCTCACCTCTCCCTTTCTCCTCTCACCTCTCCCTTTCTCCTCTCACCTCTCCCTTTCTCCTCTCACCTCTCCCTTTCTCCTCTCACCTCTCCCTTTCTCCTCTCACCTCTCCCCTCTCCCATCTCCCCATCTGTCCTCGTCCTTCCCGCCAGTGCTACAACTCGGACTCAGAGCTGGCGAACGGGTACTTCACGGTGCTGGCAGAGGTGTACATGCGCGAGGAGTGCCCACAGTGCGAGCTGCATCGCCTGCTCTCCCTCATCCTCTACAAGGTGCCTGCCTTCCATTTCCCTGGAATGCCCTGTCAACAGGCATGATTTGATGTTTCCCTGGATTTTATGTTTTCCAGTTGGTTCTGGAGGCAAATGCTGATGCGCCCCGAGAATCGGCGCGAGCTGCTCCACCCGCCTGCTCCTCTTCATCCTCTACAAGCGTTGGCGCCTGCAAGCAAGCAAGCAAGCAAAGCTTTATGTGCCCAGGCATGCCTGTAACTTCCGGTTTAAGGACTTTCTGTATGTTTCTTCCGGTGTTTGTTTATGGCTCCATCTCTTTCTCCTAACCTTGTTGCTACCTGGCTTCCTCCCTGCCCACCTTTCTCTCTCCCGTTCCGCATTTCTCTTCAGGTGGTGGACCCGTGTCGGAGCATAAGGGACGATGCGCTGCAGATGCTGGAGACCATG